AGACTTTGTGTATAGGGTACATGCTGTAGGGCTGCTGTGGTGTTACTGTGCATAGGCATTCTAGAGGTTGATCTGCAGTGATGTTACGGGGATTGTGCATAAGTTATGGTAGATCTGCAGTGATGTTACTGTGATCACGCATAAAATATGGTAGATCTGCAGTGATGTTACGGGGATTGTGCATAAGTTATGGTAGATCTTCAGTGATGTTACGGGGATTATGCATAAAATATGGTAGAGCTGCAGTGATGTTACGGGGACTGTGCATAAGTTATGGTAGATCTTCAGTGATGTTACGTGGATTTTGCATAAAATATGGTAGATCTGCAGTGATGTTACTGGGATTGTGCATAAGTTATGGTAGATCTGCAGTGATGTTACTGTGATCATGCAGAAAGTATGGTAGATCTGCAGTGATGTTACGGGGATTGTGCATAAGTTATGGTAGATCTTCAGTGATGTTACTGAGATTATGCATAAAATATGGTAGTTCTGCAGTGATGTTACGGGGATTATGCAAAAAATAAGGTAGATCTGCAGTGATGTTACGGGGATTATGTATACAGTGAGGTAGATTTGCAGAGAGTAATGCAACCACACACACATACGCAGTGCTTGTGCATAAAATGGCTAGACAAGATCAAGGAAACTGAGATAATTAGAAAGAGCAGGCATCACAACAATTTTCACAATGTTTAGTCTTCGACGGCTCCGATGGCCAGGACCCATTTGGTGGATTGCAGTTGGTAAGAGTCCCTAAGGACATCCTCTATGGCAGTGGTCTAAGCCCGGCTCTCTAGCGAAGTTGGTTAAACCTGACTTTCGCGGCGGCCGGGTGACGAACTCCTTGTGGTCCGGGTTCACTCCCGGGGGTAGGCAGAAAAGCCACATTTCTCCCAGATTAACGGTACCTATAATGGAATCAATGCCGAAGGGTTGCGATATCCATAGTACCGAGCCAAAGGGTTTACAACTCATGGTTTCTGGATACGTTAAAAAAAAAATGGCAGTGGTCTCCAACCTTTTTCATGTCACTCTCCCTTGAGTATATATAAGGTAAGAACCCCACCCTCCCTTGAATATAAGGCAAGACCCCAAGCCACTCTCCCTTGAGTATGTAGCAAGACTCCTCCCACGCCCCCTCGAGTATAACAAGACCTCCCACGCCCTCTTCCCCAACATAACAAACTTGTTAAAAAGAAGAGGGCAGTACCTCCCGCAACAAGAGAAATAGAAAATATGGAGATACATTTTGGTCAGAATGTGTTCTTCATCTCTAATTAAATGGACATTTTTTCATATTATACTTTTAGCGGCAGATGTACAGACTGCTTATGAAAACAAAATGTCCTTTCATTTTGTTTAATACGTAGTTTTAAAATATTCAGTTTGTAATTAAACTAAAACAAAAGTTAGAATAACAATTACAAATGCACCACCTACTTCCAACATTAGTTAACGCCCCTATGGAAACCTCCTTGCGCCCATAGGTTTGAGATCACTGGTCTGTGGTGAATTAGAAATGGGTGGATGTTGGGGTCAAACTGTACTCGACAAAAAGATGTATGTAAGCGGGACATTAATCATTTGTGGTGGACTCATGGGAACAGGATGCGGTGGATTGCATTGTATGGGAAGGGGTGGGGGAGGGTAATTAGGAAGGGAAAAGGGACATATGAGAGAGGATTGCAGAATTGTTAATAGCGTGGTCATGAATTAGTTTACTTCAAACATCGAAATATTTTGCACTTATTGTAGAAGACTGCACTGGCTATGGAATCACCTAAGAGCTAGAGAATTGGCTAGAAACAGAGACTTTCAGACGTAATGTAGAGAGAGAGAGAGAGAGAGAGAGAGAGAGAGAGAGAGAGAGAGAGAGAGAGAGAGAGAGAGAGAGAGAGAGAGAGAGAGAGAGAGAGAGAGAGTAAAGAACCCGCTGATTGTTGTTGACCTAAAAATAGAACTTTTAGGGGTTCGCTTGGCTGCTTACACATTTTCGAACTGAGTGCGCCCCCCCCTTCCCACACGGACTACGATGCATGTTGTGCTCACAGGTTCCGACGCCGCTGATTACGTTGTGCAATAAATGGACCAGGGCCGTTACTGCAGCGCCCGTGGGTAGCGAGAACACAGCATTGTGGGACGTCGCCATTTGTTAGGGCGACCCTGATTTTGTGTACACTGTACTAGCTCGAGACCTGCGCGAGAAGTAGTTGGCCGTGACTAGCTGTAGGTCTGTTACTCTGCATGTTAGGGAATTCCCCGGACGTTCCAGTATTATAGATAGGGGACCCCCCCCCCCCCCCCAAAAAAAAAGGGGGGGGGGTGTAGATGAAACCTGCAAAAAGTTGAACACCACCGAGAAGCGCAAGACAAATACAGAAAACCACGACACTGGGTCACAACCTGAAACAGTGAGACGACAAAAGAAGAAACAGAAGAAAATAGAGGGTGTGAGGAGAGGGGTGGTTCAGTGCCGTGTCCAGTCAGTCATAGGCAGTTATGGTTAGTCGGTGCACGGCCTTCTCTATTTATTAGAGAAGGCAGTGGTCGGTGTTCATGTCACATCCTGACACACCTATACTATTAGACCTTTTGCGGGGATTCCCAACGACATCTCGCATCCCCCGAGATAGATGGTGAAATAAAGGGGAAAAAACCCTGAATCCCTTCTTCTTCTCCGAGACCGTCAGTAGTATAACACCTCTATGGACACAGATAAAAGGGAGGCACAGACGCCACTGTTTTAAATACACATTACAGCATCGCGTCTTAAGGTAATATTGCAGCATAACACCAAAAGAAGCCTTCTTCGATATCTCCGTGGCGACAATACCAACACAAACAGTAGTTCTCACCCCCCCCCCCTTTCCCCCCACAACACGACTAGGCAACCGACCGTCCCCTACCTCTCTTGCAAGCGTGGTGATTTCCAGGAAATCAAACCACGGCTTACCGTTTGCTGCGTAAGCTGAGATCGCTACAAAAGACGTACGAAATATAACCTCCTGATAGTAAACTCTTCTGGCTTGATCCCATCCAGCGTGGTAGGTTTCGGACTGAAAATATTCATAGCTAGCATACATAGCGTGCTGAGTACCTTTACTGATGTGTTCAATGTTAGCTCATACAACGAGTGTTTTCTTAATCGTTCAGCATACATAACGTGATATGTGTCTTCCCTCCTACCCAGTGTAGTTAGGCTTATCGTGCATAGCCAGTGTGGTCGGTTTATTTCTTAATAAATATATTCATATTTAGCACACATAATGTATTAATTGTTTTCTTAAATGCATTCATATTTAGTATACAGTCTGGTATGTTTCTTTCTTAATGTGATCGGCGCTTAGTAATACACAGCGGGTAGATGTGTGCAACTGTGTTAGTAACTGTTCTGTTACGATTTCTTCTCTACTGACCAGTGAGTTATTAGCCTGTATTAACTACTACACAGCCACCGTGTTAGGTTGCTTGTGTAAGGTAGTCACGCTTTACTGGCTTATATAAGGTGTTAGATAGATTTCTTCCCGAATATATTCAAGTGTAGCATACACAGTGTGCTAGGTTTTTTAACGTTGCTAGTGTTTTTTTTTAAATGTATTTATCGCCGGCTGTTTTATCTTCAAGTTCACGTGTGCCTCGCTTTCATGTCGTAGACTACACAGCTGGGGTTAGCTGATACATTCGTCAATAGTTCTTGCTTGCTTGACGCTGATTCTGCTTGAGAGGGCCGCCCAGCTGATTACGTGCATTCCTTTTAGTAGATATGGTTTGGCATTCTGGGACAGGGGAAACCCCTGTACATAGTTCTGGAAGACCCCGCTGAGTGTTGAAGATTGAAGAACCGCAGCGGAGCAAACAGAAATTATCTGCTGTGTTGGTTGGCATGTTATCTAAAGGCTTTAAAGTTGATAGTATTCACTACATATAGCCTCCAGTTAGACTGTTCTTGCAAATCTGTTGTTATACCAATAGTTTATATATTTAGTGTAGAGAGAGGAGCTAAATGTTACATGTTTCCATTGAAATATGTTGTTTTGTTTTACTGTTTGCGTGTTAGTTTCAGTTCAGCACTCTAAGGTGGTTTCAGTTTGAGGGTAGGCCCCATACTCGCAGTGATGTTGTTTAAGTGTGAAGAGTTAGGGCCATGACATAAAATTGAAGTGGGGTGGAAGATCTTACCCCTACACCTTTTAATCCTAGAGAAATTTGAATTTTGTCTGATACATATATTTATTTAAGGCTGTTTCACACCTAGACAGTACTGCTGGTCAAAACAAAACAGAAATTCATGCCTGATAGGGATCAATCCAACTATACTGTGTTTAGACATTCAACACTATATGATTGTTACTAAATTATTGACTTTTACGTCAAGTCATGCACACATATCCATGCAGGATTTTGTTTTCTACAAGAAAAGCCGGTGTTGGTAATCAACAATAAAGTATCTGAAAAGGCGCTGGTACACTCACCACAAAATGTCTATTACTTTACAGCTGGAGAAAAAAAAATTGATTCATAATAATGGTGCCAGTACTGCAGAAGAAACAATAAAGAGAGAAATTAGGCTGATACTTGTGAAGCTCTGTCACTCTGACATTATAGAAGCACACCTGGAGGCCAACCTTGCAAGCAATGGATAGATGGAGAACCCGAGGCTGTAAATACCAGTATCTGCGTAGCACACACCAAGGCTCACACCTGATGCCTCTTCAAACCTGACGCTGAAGGGATTAACAGGACTAGAGAACAAGATGAAGAAGCATTAAGATAGTTTCACCAAGGCTTCTGGCCTCCTGAAACAAGTTTACTTGAGAAAAGGATTTGACAAGAAGGAGAAAAACCATCAAATGGCAGGTTGGTTCAATAAAAATATGGATTTAGTACTGTATGTTCGATGCACGAATGGAGGTTTTTTTAAAAACTACTGTTTCTTTTCTATTAGTCATACCATCATAGTTATAAAAGAATAAATTCCTTGAATTGTCTACTTTCAGAATAACTTTAGCACTTTGATAGAAGAGCTAAAGCTACTAAGAAAATCAACAAACACAAAAGGTAAAGATACAAGAAAAGCCACATCATCCAACGCTAGCAGTGAGTGGCTGGAAGGTACTAATGCTGTAACCAATCAAAAGGTAAATAATTTTAATAAAACCTAGAGTTGCCTTTCCCACCTCTTCTTCTTCTTTCCCCATGATCCATTTAGCATAGGACCCTCAGTTAACTTGCAACAAGTCGTCATATCCTTTGCTATCACATGCAGCTCACCCTATCTTTGTTACCTCATTCTTTTATTGTTGTCTGCAAGTTTTTTGTTTTTGATCCACCTTATTTCTTTGATGCTGCCAGCTTCATCACAGGAACAAGCTAGCCATATAGACAAGAATTGTAACATAAAAAATGTTGTCAAGGGGTTCCTTTAAAAGAAAATCAATCATGAAATAATTTTATAAAAAGTTTGAATTGTAATTATTTGGTTCGGAGTCAGGAAACTACACCAGGGGCCAGTTATGGGCTATACACAACTATCAGCTTATCAGTTAAAATGGTATAAGTGGTCACACATCTAATTGTAGTTGCCTTTGGCAGGGTCAGACCGTACCTGATAGTCTAGTGTGGCTAGGTGTTGCTGCAACTTATGGAGGTCAGACCAGATTTTGTGGGCTCTTAATTAAAAGTTTGTTGCATTCCTTGGTGGGACGTTGCAGAACCAACCCCTGTATTTTTTGTCTTTTCGTGATTTTACTAGGCAGTTTTGCCTTCAGTAGTTTGCCATTGCTTACTGAACAGTCAGCTCTCTATATAACTTGCAATCAACACGAGTTGGTCGAACCCAGCACCTGAGTGTTACAAAGCGCGTTCAATACTCTTAAGCCACAAAACTTCTGGAAATTTCCTCGTTTAATGAATTCCATTGACTCCAGAGTCTAACCAGAGTTGGAAAAGATCCTGCCATATCCTGTTGGTTGAACTTGACCACTGTCTTGATTGTTAAGCACATAAACCACTATGTCTGTGGGAGTGTTGAGAAATGAACACGCAGACAGACTGGCTGGTTCTGCACCACTGGGTGATTAATTTACCCATGTCAAGCTAGTTGTGGTCAAGGCCTTTTTGCAACAAGCAATCAGTGCAGGGGCACAAATACCTCATTGTGATCCTGAGAACGGTACAGCTACTAGGAGTGATCAGGGGATCTGGTGGACAATCTACACTCAGAGAAAATTCAATCTGGACATTTAATCATACTGCTACTGGCTCTGCTGGAATTGGCACACTTCTTTGGCTGCTAAAGATGAGGACAGAGCGCTTAAAAAAAATGCCCTAAATGATGTAATATCAGTTTTTCACTCAACATTTAACACCACTATGCCCCCGTACATCATTTATATCTAAGCTCTGTGCAGCTCTGTGGCCTAGATTTTCACATTGGATAGTTTATTTTTTTAAAAAAGCTACTTTTGTGTTTTCTGACAGTTGTACGAGAGTCATACCATGAAAGAGAATAAGACCTCTTCTTCTTCTTCTTTTTTCTACTCCTGGAATGCCTCGCAGTGTCAGAAAAGGAAGAGATCTCTGGAATGGCCTTCTGTTCACTTCGTATATAGTACTTTTCAGTGTCTCTGATATTTCTGCAGTCCAAATTCTGCGTGGTCGACCTTTGGCTCCCTTACCGCTGTATCTGTAAATCTGTACTCTTTGCGGTGCCCTCTCTGATGCTAATCTTATTACGTAGCCAAACCACTTGATCTATTGTCTACCGATGAAGTTCAGTATTGGTTCTGTGCCGACTCTCCTCCTGATATCATCGTTCCTAAGTTGTTCTTTATTTGTTACACCTAGTATAGTACGTAATCGCTTTATTTCTGTCGTGACTATTATCCTTCTGTTTTCTAAAGATAGTTTATGTTTGACACTGATAGCATAGTGTTGGTAAAGGGACCTCATGTAATATTCTCAAAGAAAATAGTTGGTACACTGCAGCCAATCTTCATTGTTATGTAATGACGGAATGCAAGGCAACACCCCTTCCAACCTCACTCCTCACATAACCTAGACTTGGGTGAGCATTAGCACGAAGGCTTTATTTATGGCGGAAAAGGGAGGGGGTGCCAGTACTTATCACAAAGCTTCTGAAAATAGGTACCGGTACTAATCACTGTGTCCATTACAATAGTATTGTAAAAATTATGCCTGAAAAAAGCGCTGGTACTGCATTCCTTTGCATACTGCCAGAGAAAAAAAAGCACTGATTAGCACCAATGCATCTCTGAACCTTGTACAGGACCGAAGTCTCAGGCATGTTTGTGGGGGATGAGATTGATATCAGCAGCTGCAGCTATTATATTTATGCTCGGCTGTTAAAATTAAAAAGTCTTTCTTTTCTCATAAGAAATTAAATCCTCAAGATTAGTTTCAGAACTTTGCTCATGTGGACAGGCACCACAGAACACTGAGCATGTGCTGCAGTCATACTCTTTACGTGCAGTAGAGAGAGATTCCAGGTTTGGCCGGTTGGCATTTGGATGGAAACCAAGTTGTATGGAGCAGAGGAAGACATGTGTGGCATGCTCTCTACATGCAGTAGAGAGAGATTCCAGGTTTGGCCGGTTGGCATTTGGATGGAAACCAAGTTGTATGGAGCAGAGGAAGAAATGTGTGGCATGCTCTCTACATGCAGTAGAGAGAGATTCCAGGTTTGGCCGGTTGGCATTTGGATGGAAACCAAGTTGTATGGAGCAGAGGAAGAAATGTGTGGCATGCTCACTACGTGCAGTAGAGAGAGATTCCAGGTTTGGCCGGTTGGCATTTGGATGGAAACCAAGTTGTATGGAGCAGAGGAAGACATGTGAGGCAGTCATGCTCTCTACGTGCAGTAGAGAGAGATTCCAGGTTTGGCCGGTTGGCATTTGGATGGAAACCAAGTTGTATGGAGCAGAGGAAGAAATGTGTGGCATGCTCACTACGTGCAGTAGAGAGAGATTCCAGGTTTGGCCGGTTGGCATTTGGATGGAAACCAAGTTGTAAGGAGCAGAGGAAGACATGTGAGACAGTCATGCTCTCTACGTGCAGTAGAGAGATTTAAGGTTTGGCCGGTTGGCATTTGGATGAAAACCAAGTTGTATGGAGCAGAGGAAGACATGTGAGGCAGTCATGCTCTCTACTCGCAGTAGAGAGAGATTCCAGGTTTGGCCGGTTGGCATTTGGAAAGAAACCAAGTTGTATGGAGCAGAGGAAGAAATGTGTGGCATGCTCTCTACGTGCAGTAGAGAGAGATTCCAGGTTTGGCCGGTTGGCATTTGGATGGAAACCAAGTTGTATGAAGCAGAGGAAGACATGTTGGCATGCTGTCTGTTTGCAGTAGAGAGATCCCAGCTTTGGTCGATTGCCATTCGGATGGAGACTAGTCTGTATGGAGCAGAGGAAGACATGTGTGGCACCACAGACTTCACAGCCTGTGGCCTTCTCATGTGAAAACTGTTGGCTGGGAGATCTTAAAGAAGAATAGAAATTAATAAAAGATTAAATTGATTTTTGTAAAGATTGATTTAATTTGTTTACAGAAAAAGAACATGTCCTCAAAGAACACAAAGAAGAAGAAAGGGGGTGAGTCTAAATTAAAAATTGTGTGTGATTTAAAAATTTTTTGTTTATGTCAGAGTGTACGTACACATGTGTTTGCAATCAGGAACAAACAACCTTAGAGAAATTAAGACAAACTTACACAGTGCCTTAGGATAAGTACACATATAATCCTTACATGTACTATTTTTTCTTCCCCTCCCCCAACACTTTGCTGAAGTAACTGGAGGAATATTCGTTCTAGGGTTGCATTTGGGAGGGGTTCCAGGTCTGCATTTGGGAGGGGTTCCAGGTCTGCATTTGGGGGAACAAAAAATAGACGCACTGCCCTCCTAACAAGCAGGTAGTACTACTACTACTTCTTCCTTTCTCAACTCCTGGAATGCTTTCGGCGTCAGGGAAGAAAAATATCTCTAGAACGGGCCCTTCTGTTCACTTCATATAAAGTACTATTCATTGTCTCTGATATGTCTGCGGTCCATATTCTGCATGGTCGACCTCTTGGTCTATTACCACTGCATCCGTATAACATTGCTGTCTGTGGTGCCCTGTCTGCAGGTAGTACATAGGTGATTAATTAGGGGTGTTTCTTTGGAAGTTGGAGTGCATCAGCCTTAGTGGCAGGGAACCGTCAACATGCATACAAATCAGCCAGATCTTGAAACTCAAGTTCTGGATCAAGACCAAAGTGCAAGAGTGGACAAATAATCAGAACTTTCCACCAGAGTTTGCAGCCGGTGAAAGCTAAGAAGAAGACAGTTTTTTATATACATGGGAAAGCACCTGTGGTCAACAGCAGCAACAGCTATAGTAGAACTGGAAAGGTGGAATATTCAAAAGCTCTGCTTGTTTAAATTAGAATGTTCGTGCTGACATCTAGGATATACAAGTGCTGAAATGATCTCACACCTAGACCAGGGCTCGTACTGATCAAGACCTGTCTTCATCTCTTCATGGCATTTGAGAAACAGGTTCCCAGCCGGGAGCTGGGCCAGCATTGATAGAATTAATATTTTATTTAAAGTTGGGGTACGTCTTCCTGAGAGGCGGGGAGCCAACAGACTGCACACCAGTGAGCCAGATAAATAAAACGCAAGTCCTGGAACAAATCCAGAAGTTGATGAACAAGCAGGACTTTTTGTTAAAGTTTACATCTGGTGAATACGAAGAATAAGAATACAATTTTACATCTGAGGAGAAAAAGATATGGAAGGGGCAAGGGAAAAATTATGGTAGGATGGGTTGGGTAAAGGGAATTTGTCTGTTGTAACATATCCGGCTTCTAATGTCAGCATAAATTAAGTTATTGGCTTTTTTGTGTGTCAAAGAAAGCATCCTCAAACTTAACATGCACCCACACACAAAAGCATCACTTACAGAATGCTAGTGTCCTATGCACAGAAATGAATTATTTTGTACTTTTCAGCTCAGCCTCAGGCAGCCAAAAATGCTGCCCCAGCGTCACCTGCCAAGAGTTCCGAGGTGGTGGTGGAGGATGTAGACTCAGATTCTACTGATGGCGATGGCTCCGATAATGATTCTCAGTTTGCGTTCAGGATGAGAAACATCAAACAGCAGGATCAGACAAGGAAGCCTGCACCCAACCACGGAGCAGTGCCAAACAGAGCTGCAACACCTGTAAGGGAATGTTTCTTTGCTGCATTGTCTTGTCTTATAGCCTGTGGCATTGGTAGTCATGTCTGTCTACAAGCTTCTGTTTCATGTACTTTCTATCAATTCTGACACAAATGATCTGTCCAGAATTTTCTCTCTCTGGTCTCCCTCTGGCTATTCCCCCTCCAACTTTCTCACCGTCGCAGTGTACTCCAGTTTTCTTCTTTTCTTTACATGACTATTGTCTTCTTCTTACACAGGTAGTCAGTTCTCTTTGTAGGTCACTTTTCTTTCAAGACATATTCATTACTCTTTTTTTTTTTGGAGGTCCAATGTATTGTCATCATTCGTCTATAAAACCACATCTCTGCCAATTCCAAATAATCTGTCATTAATTATCCAGCTGTCCTTGATTTCACGTGCAGTATCAGGATTTCTTCTTCACATTCACCGGTTGTAAACTCCATTGGAGAGTTTTGGTTGTTCATTCACCTCTGGACTTTAGACTTGTTGCAGAACCTGAGTGTTGTGTGCAAATCTGTTTTATAGATCTGACTTATTTGTATGCAGACTGTTGGCTCCTTGCCTCTCAGATGCACTCTGACTTCGAAGGAAACCCCTAATTAGTCAACTCGTATGTCATGCTTGTTGGGGAGGCAGTGGGTCTGTTCTTGTTTTCCCCACAGTGAGGCCACAGAACCCACATGGGGGGATATTTGGAAATGATTTATATAGCTCTTGTGTTTCCTTACAGATCTGAATTATTACAGCTTATTTTCATTTGACAACTGTATCTGTCTTAGTGAGGATACTCATCACAGCACTTCTGACAGATCCGTAGATGCCACGACCTCCTCCTCAGTAGCTCGCAAGTGTGAAATAGTTGATCATGCACGTTCTTTGTTTATTAACCAAAATCCTTTTGCTGTTAGTTAAATACTTATGTCTGGCAGATTCAGGTTCCATCTTCATATCCATCTTAGGCTTTTGGCAGCCAAGAATTTTTTTTCCCAATGTTAATTGTTTCTGAATAAATATAGATACCAATAGTCACCCGCTTACTGTATGCACTGTTATAGTTTTCTCCATTTGGTTGAAAAACTCTTCATTGGTTAGCGGATGTTTTAGTCATTGGTTTGTGTGTTTTAGACATGTGGCTGCATCTCCATGCTTCCTTGACGACTGAGTCGCATATTGGTCTGCCAAAGCATGAACTGGTTGGTGGTTAAGGAGGGAGCAGTGATTGCATCAACACTACTAGCGTTCTTTTAAGGGCTACTTGGTAGGTAGCCCTTCTCAGGGCTGCCTGGTGGTGAACGATTTAACCAGGAAAATGGTGCTGATAGCCCAGACCATAAATATAACCTTACACTACCTACCACCATCACTGCCAGTAGTAGATTTAACATGGTTGACTTTAGCAGTTGTTGCTCTTGAACGGAATTTAATCTAATCATCATGCTTTTAAGTTTAATTATGTGCCAGATGAGTTGGTTGAGATCCTTTGCTGTTTGAGTTTTGAGAAAGATTGAAGAAGGTAAACTGTTCAAACTTTTATAAACTGTGACTGATGATATACTTTTCTCTGTCTACAGGTTCGTGAAAATGATAATTCACGTTTTGATGGGTTCACAACAGGTAAGATAGTAATTTACATATTGTTTGAGCAATTGGTTCTTATAGATGACACCCACCTGTACTTAGCATTATTTTGCATTCAGTCAAAGTGTAATTAGTTAGTTCGCATGGTTCCTGCTATTTTAGCCTTATATACTCCTGACAGTTTATCCTAGGAAATGCATCCTGAAAATATGTTATCGCAGGATAGACCAGGCCCTTAACCTTGGTTGGCAGCTGGCCTAATGGGAAAGCTCAGACACACAGACAGAGCACTGGCTAGGGGGTTGTTACTGATAGATGAAACACTGCAGTGACATCCATTCAATTTCTCTGTCTGGTTTTTTATTATTGACATGGCTGAGATGATATTTTCACACAGATACAATTTACTTGCGTATCCTTTACAGGGGCATTTTAGGGCCAACTCCAGGATTTTTGCTTTTATGGTTTTTCTAGACACATTTTACATTCAGTAGTTTATAGTCAGCTTTCAGGACCACTGTCGAAATCAACGTAAGACAATTGTCCGCAGATGGTATCGAACCCTGCACCCCGGCTCAACAAAGCATGCTTGAAATGTCTAAGCTACAGATGCCGATAGATGCATATAGGGAGCTGTAAAAAAAATATGGTAGCCGCATAACTCAAGTGAATATACTTTTGTTGCCGCATAATTAGTCAGAAATTTATGGCGGCCCGCCTGATTTTTTTTCTGCTGCCCACCAGTGCGCTGTGGCCCATGGGTTAAGAACACTGATTTAGATAATAGGATTGTTTGAGTTGATGTCCCAGGTCTCACGATAGATGATAGAAATGTCAGCAGAGAGAGCAAACTGATGTTTCCGGGAATCACATTTGACAGGAGCCTGTCCTTCATGGACAATGTGGAAATGGTTGTGACAAGACTATGGCTGCAATGGACATAGAGCAGATAATGTTTTGACGAAACTACATCAGCACTTGATCCTCTCAGTGATTGATTAAGGACTAGGACCGCTCACTGTGTCAAAAAGTCAGCTGGTGAACCTGGAGTGAATACATAACGCAGCTATGCTGGTCATCCTAGGGTGTGCCAGAGACACCCCAGTCGTGTGTTTGCGATACGTCTTTGGTTTGCCAAGGTATGCTCAATGTGTAGACAAAATTATATCTCAGAGTAGACACAGATTGCCCTTTGCATGAAGCACTGGACGTAGTTAAGAGTTGGCCGTTGACAAGAGTGAAGTCATGGATGGCCAGGCGCAGGACACAGTAAGACAGCTTTGCATCCTGAAGAACTTAATCGAGGAAAGGAATGGGTCTCAGTCTGATAATAATGATGCAGCAATGAGTGATGACGAAATCTGGTCGATACTCGACGACAATTAGAGGAAAGGCAAAAGACATGTAACCAGACTGCTGCTGGTACCATTGGTATTGGAACTCTGTGCTGGCTGCTGAGGATGGGGAAAGAGGGCTTATGGGAATGCCCAGAGTGTTGTTATATCAGTTCTTAAATAACCTCAACTAAAACGGTTGTTTATTTAGGTCATGATACACTCCATATCTTGCCTGTCCTCTTCCTGGTTTTTATTTTTTTAAATTTTTTCTGTAATTTATTATTACTTGAGTTCTGCCCCAGACATTTCTCCCAGTAATTTTCCCAGAGTTGTTTGTTTCTAACACACTATAAAAAACATTATGCTACAGAATTAGTTATAAAGCTAATCATTTATTGTATAGTTCTATTATATTCAACACATATCATCATCATGTAGCAGGTCCTTTGCAGAACGTCACTCTCATTACAGCCTGCCTGAAAGAATCTCGGTCTCTCTCCAGTTCTCCAGCCTCATGTACTTTCATACTCAAAAAGTCACTTATATCCTGTGCCCATTTTTAAACGGATGAACGAACAAACTTTATTTTCAAAGGGTTTTTAATTGGGCACGCAGGCCCGTCTGACATTCGGCCCTTTTTCAGAGTACCAATGCCTGTTATCAATAATGCATGTTATGGATATAATAAAGAAATATAAATTATAGAATAATGCAAACACACATCATGTGCACACAATCGTGCACACTCACACACAAGAATACATACTCCTACATTCTCATACATGCACACTCATATACAGACATACTTAATACATACACACATGCATCTACATACATACACAAACATAAAACACATACATAGACATAAATACACAAACATAAAACACATACATAGACATAAATGTACAAACAGAAAACACACACACATATATTCTTCGTGAGTCAACCCCAACACATTTTTCAGATGTTTTTTTAAGTCTACATTCTGCATTTTCTGCTACCCATTTTGGAGTCTGGACACATTTATGATTGGGGAAAATTAATCTTTGTTTTAATTTTAGCAAAAGCAAGGCCTTCACAGCAAGTACGAAGACTGTCAACGTCTTTACACTGGCCTCTTGAAGGGTATGAGTTTTGTCTGGTTTGCAGGCTTTGCTTTGTAAAGCAGGGAGAAGGATTTGGAGGTATGTATGTTATAATGTTGTCCGATTTGTCATTTATAAAAAATGTGAGGGTACATAAGTACTGCCAGCCTTTCATCTATCAAGAATTTGGAGTTGTTTTTGCCACATTTCACAGCATCTAGCCAATAGCTATCTCTTTTTCCCTTTAAGTGTCTCATTTTTGTTGTAGAGGAATTTGAGTGGTTCATTGACCTGAAGAATTGTCCCAGTTGTAGTGTAGCTACTGGTAGCATCTTCTGTGTCAGACATGTCAGGGGATGTGTATCTGACCAAGTGAGTCGCAAACCGGCTGCCTTGTTGGTAGACTGGGGGACAGCCGAAGACTGGGGGACAGCCAAAAACTGGGGGACAGCTGGAGACTGGGGGACAGCCAAAGACTGGGAGACAGCCGAAGACTGGGGGGACAGCTGGAGACTGGGGGGACAGCTGAAGACTGGGCAAGGCAAACCCAAAGAAACTGATTGCTGAAATGGAATGCCATGGGTTCTATATTTATTATTCATAAAATGCAACTCCATCGAAGTCAGAGTGCATCTGCTTGAAAGGCGATGAACCAATAGGCTGCATACACATAAGCCTGATTTGTAATGTGAATGTGCACAAAAAAAATAAAGTTTTAGAACATGACTAAAGTCTAGGAGTGGATGGACAATCAGAACTTTTTTGCTAGAGTTTACTGGTGAGCACAAAGAAGAAAAAAGGAGAGGGAAGTACAGCTTGTTTCAAGACGATGTCATGCTGATGTTCTCTGTTTCACCATGCATCACAATTCATATCAGAAAGTTATCAGAATAATGCTGCTCATATACAGTGGGAAACTGCCACAGAGGCGCTTTGATTAGTATCCTAGCCTGTCGAGACTGCAGTCGGGGTGTCATTTTTCTAAAGTGGCAGGATTTTTCCTAACCTAAATAGCTTAGAGTTCAACCCTCTTGTAAAAAAAAATGCGTGCTGGATAGTTTCTATAATTTACTGAGCTGTCTAGAAAAAAAAAGAGCTGGCCATCAAGCGCAGCGTTGCAGGCTAGAATGTGTGACAGCCTAACCAGTTCATTGTTTTCCGGGGGTGTGGGGGGTAACTCTGGTATTATTCCAGATCTTCATTTTGCCTGCACAGACCTGGCTCATTTTATGCAGACAGTTGGTTCTTCGCCTCTCAGGCAGATGCACTCTGACTTTTGAGGAAACATCCTTAATTATTTGACTTTCTGGGGTGGGGGGGGGGGGGGATAGTGGATTTAATTTTCCCTCCTCTCTCCCCAAAATGAGACCCTGGAAATAATTAATTATTATTAATTATAAGGTCTGAAAGCAGGGTATGAGAATATAGACAACTACTCACATACAATTATATTAATGCATTTTTGAAAGTTACAATACACCTTCAGTCATGATACCATAATTATATTGTTGCATTTTTGCAGGTTACACCCATACTTTTGAATCATGAGGCTTTAATTATCTAAAAGTTTTTTTTTTAAAGTCCAGGATACAAGTGTACCCACATAACTGCAGGCATGATGTCTTGATTTTGTGACAACATTTGTAGGGGTACAGTTGTCGGGACAACTACCCACATAACTGCAGTCATGATATCTTGATTTTGTGACAACATTTGTAGGGTACAAATATCGGGATAACTACCCACATAACTGTAGTCGTGATATCTTGATTGTGTGACACCATTTGTAGGGGTACAGTTGTCGGGACAACTACCCACATAACTGCAGTCATGATATCTTGATTTTGTGACAACATTTGTAGGGTACAAATATAGGGATAACTACCCACATAACTGTAGTCATGATATCTTGATTGTGTGACACCATTTGTAGGGGTACATATGTAGAGATAACTACCCATATAACTGTAGTCATGATATCTTGATTGTGTGAAACATTTGTAGAGGTACATATGTAGAGATAACTACCCATATAACTGTAGTCATGATATCTTGATTGCGTGACAACATTTATAGGGGTACAGTTGTAGAGATAACTACCCACATAACTGTAGGCATATCTTGATTGTGTGACAACATTTGTAGGGGTACAAATATCGGGACAACTACCCACATAACTGCAGTCATGATATCTTGATTGTGTGAAACATTTATAGGGGTACAGTTGTAGAGATAACTACCCACATAACTGTAGGCATATCTTGATTGTGTGACAACATTTGTAGGGGTACAAATATCGGGACAACTACCCACATAACTGCAGGCATATCTTGATTATGTGACAACATTTGTAGGGGTACAGATGTAGGGACAGCTACCCACATAACTGCAGTCATGATTTCTTGATAGTGTGACAACATTTGTAGGGGTACAGATGTAGGGACAACTACCCACATAACTGCAGTTATATCTTGATTGTGTGACAACATTTGTAGGGGTACAGATGTAGGGACAGCTACCCACATAACTGCAGTCATGATTTCTTGATAGTGTGACAACATTTGTAGGGGTACAGATGTAGGGACAACTACCCACATAACTGCAGTTATATCTTGATTGTGTGACAACATTTGTAGGGGAACAGATGTAGGGACAACTACCCACATAACTGCAGTTATATCTTGATTGTGTGACAACATTTGTAGGGGAACAGATGTAGGGACAACTACCCACATAACTGCAGTTATATCTTGATTGTGTGACAACATTTGTAGGGGTACAGATGTAGGGACAGCTACCCACATAACTGCAGTCATGATTTCTTGATAGTGTGACAACATTTGTAGGGGTACAGATGTAGGGACAACTACCCACATAACTGCAGTTATATCTTGATTGTGTGACAACATTTGTAGGGGTACAGATGTAGGGACAGCTACCCACATAACTGCAGTCATGATTTCTTGATAGTGTGACAACATTTGTAGGGGTACAGATGTAGGGACAACTACCCACATAACTGCAGTTATATCTTGATTGTGTGACAACATTTGTAGGGGAACAGATGTAGGGACAACTACCCACATAACTGCAGTTATATCTTGATTGTGTGACAACATTTGTAGGGGAACAGATGTAGAGATGACTACCCACATAACTGCAGTCGTAATGCACTAATGATGTGAATGTTTTCTTTCCGTGCAGGGTACACACACAGGAACAACTTCTCACACAACTGTAGTCATGACACCCTGATTGTTAGAGATAAAGCCAGGCCACATCTAGAATGGCTAAAAATTCGTCCCCGGTTTATCGGCAACCAATCCTATCATTCATACAAGTATAAGATGTGTACACATTTTCAGAGCAATCTGCCTTGTCGTTTAGGGGAGGCAAACTGCTCATTTGCCCACAACCATACTGAAGTCAGTCTCTGGAATTTAGATCGGGACAGGGTGTTCAACATACAGGGTTTTATAAACGATGCCAAAAGGCAAGGAATAAGTAAGTATGGCTATGGTTGCAATGCATATTTAAGTGTTAACGAATATTGAAGTGTTAATGTGTTATGTGTAGTGTTTTTTGTGTTTTATCACCTGGTTATTGAAAAGTTGTGGCGAAGCAATAGCGCTAAAGAACATAAAATATTTTAAGATAGTTTAAAAACAGTTGTGTTGTCCTTTCTTTCAGGGTTCGTTATAGTGGGTATAGACCAGTGGTTTTCATCCTTTTTCGGGTGGCACACCTCTTAAAATGTTGAATTAAGAATCGACAACACAGCACTCAGGACACTCCCATAAGTGCTCCGTCCCCATCTTCAGCAGCAAGTGAAGTGTTCTAATTCCGATGGCACCAGTAGCCGTCTGATTGTACATCTGTCTCATCCCTCCCCTGAGTGTTAAGTGTCGGCCACATTCCCCCGGTAACTCCTCGCAGAGCCATTCTCCCTCAGCGCATAATGATATATCTGCGTATCCGCACTGTTCACTTGTTCCTAAAGGGCCCTTACAATATCTAGCTTGTCATATATCAATTACCATCAAGTGTGCAGAACTGGCCAGTCTATATGCCTGCTCATTTCCCAACACACCAGCATGACCTGGAAAAAATAAATTAAACCTCTTAAATATATGGCAACACCCCTTGCTACCCAGCTTTAAATAAATATGGTTAAAAAGAGGAGTAGAGAAAAAGATAAAAATCCCAAGCTTCATTAATAAGAATTTGGAGAACGACATCCATGTAAATCACAAAGTGTAAGATGATGTAGAAGAAATAATCACTAGTAATTTGATGTCCAGATATCAGTGTGATGGTTGACACTGTTTCGCCATGATGACATTTGCTATTTTTTTGTGATGTTTGACAAATAGAGTGGAGATCACTCTCCATGCAAATCTGGCAGCATTTGTCTTTAATGATTTTAATTTAATGATTTTTTTTTTTTTACAAAGTATAAAAGTACAAATACAAGTACAAATACGCTCAATTAAAAAAATTTCTCCTACCCCCCTCCCACCCACCTTTCCAAAACTTCTTGTGCCTCCCTGGTTGGAGAGGATTGGCTTAGACATTGTGACGATGGTCCTGATTTCTTCCATTGTCCGCAACCACAAGTACAATCTTTCTGCGATCAAGTCAGATGGCCAGATAGGATGCAGAGTTGCTGAACCACATGTGCTGGTACTCCAGGACCAGGGCCCATACTAATCATGAGGTATCTACACCTCTCCTTGGTCCTCCTAGAAACAGGTTTCCAACCGGGGAACCGGCCAGTGTAGACAGGATCTACGTTTCCTTCGTAGTTTTAGTGCTTCTATCTAATAGTCCAGGAACCAACAGTCTCACATACATAAGCCAGATGTGTAAAGTCCTGAAAGAAGACCAAAAGTCCAGCAAGTGGATGAACAACCAGATTCAACTTAGCTGAACATGAAAAAAAATGGAAGAGATGAAAGAATTTGAATATTCTGAGACATGTCATAGGCAACATTTTTATAGCAGAGTCTGAAAGTAAACTGTAAATGTCTGATCAAGGTTTTAGAGGAGAGCCAAAAGAATTGATTGTCATTAATAGGAGAACTTGGTAATGTTAGTTTCAGCTTCATAGCAATCGGGCCACCCCAAAGTTGCTCCGCTCCTGTGCCAATGAAAAACACACAGAATGTTCATCACAGTCCCTTGTGGAAAGATCGACAGACTGCTTTCTTAGCATATGCACTAGCTTACACACACATTAAAAGCATATGGGAGCCATCAGAAGTGCTAATACAAACAGTCTGACATTAGAAATGCAGTTCATCATCGACGGTAGCATTTGTAACCAACAACTCAGCAGTGCACACACAATTAACTTTAATCACATAAGGGCACCGTCAATATTGCGACAGCAGGCCACGCCCAATTTTCTGAATCTACAATTCACAACACCACATTGGTCACAGTAGAAATACATTCCAAATGAAATCCGCAGCTCACAAGGTCGCACCATGCACTCAACTCAGCCAGAGTGTACAGCTGGTGAACGCGAAGAAGAAGAAGAAGTAGCTGGGCGATGAAACTATATCCTTTCAATCTACAAATGGAGCAAAATGCAACGGCCACCATCTGGCAGAAGCAAAACAGTGACCGTGCCTAGTGTCCATTTTGAACGGAAGTGTTCAGAACTGAATGTTTGTGGTTTCTAAAAAGACAAATTTTTAAAAATCTGTTTGAATTATGAAGGTGTACAAAATCAACCAAAAACATCTTTTTAATTTGTAGGTTGATCAGTATCGCCAGATGATGGATAAAGTAAAAGTAAAAGTCCCTTTTTCACGCCATTAGGCGTATTGGGAATACAGGGCTAGACCTGTATTTTTATTGACCACTCGGCACTTGGTGGGTGATGTCTGATGATGGATGGGAGAAAAAGTGATAGAGGAAGTCAAAACTAGCTTTGTTTGGGAAATGCTTTACAAGAAAAGCATAGCTAAATGTATATGGAAAGTTAAAACTGTTGAGTTAATATTATAATACAAGCAACACCAGTAATTTTAGTAAAATATCAAGTGTCAGAGAGAAAAGGAGTGTTATGATCAGGGATATGATCAGTGTTGTCTGCTCCAGTCCAGACACATAAAGATGAAGTCATTTTCTTAAAAGTTTTGATAACATCTCTAAATGTTAAGTTTGAAGGTTGTTATATGTTAAAAAATAAGAGTTTTGTCTACATAATGTATCTACAGCATCATCAAAAGACCTTGATGGCACACAATCTGCAGAAGTTCAGCAAGAGCGGTACATTCCAGGGCTAAATTTTGCACAGGGTGGATCAAAACGACAAGCAACTCCACCACCCTCCGGAGCGCAGCCACCACCTCAGCAGCAGGTGCATTTTCTTGGTTTTTGTTTATAAATGAAGACTTAACAGATTTTCCATTTTTTGTGTGTTAAAGATAAGAAGAGGAATAAATTTGGATTTAGAAAACAAGCCTTGGCTCAACATATCCCTATGCTTAATGGCATGATTATGGAAAAGATACGTAATCCATATGGTGAAAGACTGCAGAGAGTCATCATCTACCTTGGTTGTAAACGTGAGCAGTAATCAGACTTGGATCATATCTGTATGTGTGTGTCTTGATGGAGATAATATGTCTGAATGATAGGCTTCAGTAGGGGGGGTTCAGAACTGAAAGAACTAACCTTGACAGAGGTGACTCCCTGTATGGGTTACAAGGCCCCATTGTGGGGGAGGGGAGAGAATAGACCCACCGTCTCCCTAACAAGTGTGACGTAAGAGTAGACTAATTAGGGTTTTCTTTCCAAGTGCAACTGCTTGAGACAAGGAACCAACAAATAAGCCACATCTGTGTATGTGGATGTGCACGCAAAACAAACTCAAGTTCTGGAACAAGTTTGTAGACCAGAAATGGATGAACAGCCTGAACTTTCCACCAGAGTTTACAGCCGGTGAACACAAAGAAAGAAAAGAAGTTTGAGGTGACAGATCTGAAGGATGGGGTCTGGAGTTAAGGATATTTGCAAACAGAAGTAGCTAACCTTCTTGTAGAGATAAAGAAATGTACTAATAATATTTTATGGTAACATTTAGTCATTATGTCCCCCCCCCCCCCCCCCCCCCCTTGTGGGTTCCAGAGCCCTGTTATAGCTAAAACAAGAATAGACCCACTGCCTACCCAAAAACATGTCATAGGAGTCAACTATTTGGGAGCTTCCTTTAAAGTCGCAGTGCATCTGCCTGAGAGACAAGGAACCAACAGTCTGCATACAGGTCTGTCAAATGGATGCACACCCAAAACTCAAGTTCTGGAACAGGACTGCAATCCAGAAGTGGACAAACAACCAGAATTTTCAGCTAGAGTTTACATCTGGTAAACGCGAAGAAGAGGACCAGAGTATTCCATTCAGTGCCAGCCTAATGTCTTCCCCACTAGGTTCAGTGGAATGGGCTTAGTTGTCTCTCAAATTACACATAAGTGATTCTGTCATACCATTTAATTCCTCTGTTTTCTGCAGTGTTGAATGTTGAATTAAGAATAGACATAGCACTTAGGACACTCCCATAATCACTCCGTCCCCATCTTCAGCAGCAAGCAAAGAGTTCCAATTCCTATAGAACCTATAACTGATTATATATCCATCTAGCCTTGAGTGTTGAGCAATGGCCAGATCCCCTGGTCACTTCTTCGCAGCGCCATTCTCCTCAGACCATAATGATCTGTCTTTGCCTCTGCGCTGTTCACTCGCTCCCAAAGGGCTCTCACAACATCTTGCTTGTCATACATCAGTTCACCACCAAGTTGTGCAGAACCGGCCAGTCTGTTTACCTCCTCATTTCCCAACACAACGACATAACCTGGAGAAAATATCCAGAGGATGTTAACTACCCGGGACCTCTGTTTTCTGCAAACTTAGGCAATTAAATGCTCTAAATGTTTGTTTTCAGTTTCCAGGACGGGAGAGTTACTCAACTTCTGCCTTCAACAGTACTACGAAGCCAGCTAATGTAAATGTTGGAGGAAATGCTGGACTTTCAGGTTTTCGTTTGGTGCGTAAATTATTCTAATAATCAAAATGAGAAATCTACATTTTGTTTGTTTGTTAAGGAGGTTTAAAACAAAAAGACAACTTACTAAAGAAATCAGAGAGTAGCAGACAACACATTTTTAGGCTTCGGGTGCGAGCCTGTGTGTGTGTGTGTATGCTTTGTAGATGCTGGTATTTACAACCTTGGATTTTCCATCTATCCATCGTTTGCATGGTCAATCTCTAGTTTTTTTTTTTTTTTTTTTTTTTTTGCTGTTGTGGTTTTTCTAGGCAGATTTACATCCAGTAGTTTGCTATTTGTTTATGGACAGTCGGCTCTTGGTACCACTGTCGAAACCAACGCAAGACAGATTGTCCGTAGCTGGGATTGAACCCGGAACCCTGGCATTACAATGCGCGTTCGTAATGCCTAAGCTACAGACGCCGACTGACCTCTAGTACTGCTTCCATTATCTTTAATTGACAAGGCTCTTTGTGACGCACTGCCTGGTCGTAGTCTTGACACATGTCCAAAAGAATTGTTGTTTCTTGATATAATTTAATTCTGGTTCAGTTCCTGATTCTTTCCTGTTATCGTTATTTCTGACCCTGTCACTTCTAGTTACATTTAGGATTCATTGTAGACATTTTATCTCTGTTGTTTTGATTTTTATTATGTTGTTAATGTCCATGTTTGACACTGGTAACAAAGTGTTGGTTAAAAAAAATTAATTCTAAGAATAATGCTTTTTCGTGTCAATTGTCACATACTTGTCATAATCATCTGTATCATCTAAGAGCTGGATATATTGCAGCCCAAGCTCACTCATAGGTGGATGGTTCTTCTTTTTATCTGTGAAAAGTCTGATATTCTTCATCATAGTTGTGTAAGAATAAACTACAAATTTCTGATCATGTAAACATGCATCAGAAGTAGCAGCAGTATAGTCTAGAAGTGGACAAACAAAACACTGGAGTTTACAACCAGTGAATGCTGATAAGAAGAAGATCTGGCCGACACTCAACACTCAGGGCAAGGGCCAAACGGATATACAATCACAACTCTTACTGGTACCATCAGAATAGAAACGCTGCACTTGTTGCTGAAGATGGGGACGGAACACTTGTGATAACGTATTATAAGAAAGACTAGAAATGTTTGGATAAAATATTTTAAAACTGCAATTCTTTTCCTCTTCCACAGCCAACAACATCAGTAAACAACCAGCCACCTTATGCTTCAGAAACTTCACGCACGACTCAGCAACCTTCAACATCACATTCCAGATTTTCTCAGCCGCAAGCTTTTGGTCAATTCTCCGGAATTCCTAGACTGCCAAACCGACCAGTTTTTAACGTACCGCCACCGGAACCGGTATTTAAACAACCCCAGCCTACGTTTAGGAAACCTCCCCCACAGACATTTCAGCAGCCAACAACATCACCTCCTCAGTTTAACACCCAGGCTCCGCCACCAAAAACTTCGACTCCTTCCTTCAGCCATCCTATGCCCAACTTAAATCAACCTCCCCCTTCTCACGGCAAAATTCAAAATCCTTTTCCTCAGTATAAGTTTCAGCTGTTCTGCCCACAGTGCCTTACATTTTCTGGAAACCCTTGGTACTACTTTCAGTATAACATAACACACCAGTGTCTTGAGAATGTTCTAGCATTTTATGTGCTGAACAATCTTGGTCAGAATTGTTGGGTGAAGGCACGGGAACGTACCAGTCATCGCAGTTTTAAAGGCAATTACATTCTGTGCCAGAGTCTCACAAGGGGGAATATCGAGCTGTGTAAATTTAAAGAAAACTGCAGCTTTGCTCACAATGTTCTTGAGCAGAGAATATGGAAGCTGGAGCAGGAGGGAACATTTGACGTTGCTGAATTCATTCTCCAGAGCAAGAAACGGAACGCATCACCGTCTTCATCGCCATCAGGAGCAAGTTTCCATAATCTGGCTGTGAGAAATCTTCTGGCGAAGCATGGAGGGTATTTTCGGTTCATTTGTCGAGAATGTTTCTTCGCTCCTCGCCCAATGATCAGCAGCAGGGGGTCAGGTAACTTTTGCACAGGTGCAGCCCAGCATCCCTGGGACGCATCCAGGATTATAGCTCATGTGAAGAACACAACATTCACACCAATTGACAATCGGAAGTTTCACCACACTGGCGCTTTTTACCTGATGTGTAACTTTATGCACTTCTGTAGACATTGGCTGGCTAACAAGTAAGCATGATTTTACCTACTTCTGTAGGCATTGACTACCTAGCATTTAAGTAGATTTGTTTGCCATTCTGTAGGCATTGACTCGCTTTGTCGGCATTGTTCACAAAGTGAACACCAGATGTTGCCGTTTGATGGACACACCCCCTCCTCCTACTATCGATCTGTTTCAAGATTGATAATTTTCAAGATTTTCCTCATCATTCGCGCTCTCACTGACAATGTCACTTCAAGAACGTATTCTTTATGAAATTATCACAGATAATGAATATATATATATATCACAGAGTCTGAATAAACCAAAGTATCGATCACCTGTTTGACTGTGAAAAGTCTAGAACTTGGTTCATCAGCCGCTCGATTCAATGTGAATTTTTAGAATTTTTCCACGTAAAACAACACAAATATAATCCAAACACATGCGGCCAGACAAAGAGGATTGATAACGATTGGGTGGTTATTTTTAGTCCGTGTTGCATCTTTTTCCCTTACTACGCAAAAAGCCGAAAATTAGGGCCAGCGGTATAGAGACATGTTAAGAAATCCCCGGTAAACCGGGCCAGCGGTCTGGTAGGGTTAAACAAAGCTTGGTTGTTTTGTCAGGGCTAAGGACTGGAAACAAATTGAATCCATGTGGTTTTAGTACTTGATTCGGGCTTAGGGCCTAGTAAATATAATTCTCTTGTCTCTCTATAACCATAAGAAATTATTACAAGTACTAACTACTGAAACTACTGAGGTTGTTTTGTCACAATGCCCAATACACCTGAAGGTGTATAAAAAGGCCTTCACTTTACTATAGGCATTGAGTAGACTAAAACAACTGAATAAATTATGGAATTGTACAGATAGAATTACAAAGGTCAGATTTTTAAGAGCATGCATCTTTCCCATTGCAACATACGCCTGTGAGACCTGGACACTTACTAAACAAGCGGAACAGCGCATAAATGCATTTGAATATAAATGTTACAGACAGGTTCTAAGAATATCTTGGGTAAAGAAAAGAACAAATGCATCCATACTTCAAGAGCTGAATATTGAAGAGGGTTGGCTAGTAAAGACAATAAAACAAAGAAAATTGAAATATTTTGGTCACTTGAAACGTCGTGGAAGTCTAGAGAGAACAATAATGGAGTGGTATATGCCTGGGAAGAGAGGAAGAGGAAGGCCAAGGAGAAGATGGGTGCAGGATGTGGCAGATGATCTCCAGATGGGTGTATCAGACGCAGGACATCTTGCTCAGGATAGGAAGGTTTTCCGGAGGGTTGTCATGGCAGCGAGGTTCCGCGAGGGACATGCTACTGAATGAATGAGTAGCTAGCATTCAAGCACATTTTTTTCCTCCACGTTTTTAGGCATTAACCCGTAGGCAATGACTGGCTAGCATTTAAAGACGTTTTTATGCACCTTTGTATAGGCATTGAGAGCCGCCCTGGTGTAGCAGCTAAACGCTCACCTGTTGATCTGAAGCTCGTGGGTTCAGGTCCTGACAGAGCTGGACTCTTTTAAAAAATGACCTATGCTCCCAGGTCGAATCATCCTTAGATGAGTACCAAGTAAAATACTGGGAAGTAAAAGTGGCCTGCGTAATGTTGACAACACCACTCACCCAGTGCCAGTCTGTAAAATATAGATCTAACCCTTTATGCCCAGTACACTTGAAGGCGTGGGAAAAGGTCCTTCATATAGGCATTGACTAGCTAGCTTTTGAACACATTTTTATGGACCTTTGTTAAGGCAGTGACTGTCTCTTATTGTGCACTTCTATAGGCATGGACCTGATTGACCTGGGTCAGTCACTTGGTCACGGATGGTTAAGTTGCCCGCTTTCTTGAGGCATCTCGCCTCAAAAGTGCTAGTTTTGCGTAGAAATAGTTTGACACTGGTAGCACAGTTGTGAAAAAAATTATCTGTTTATCATTAAAGAATAGAGACTTATAATAGGGGCATTGAATGTGTTTGCAGATGTAGATATGCTCACAGTATGATCGAGAGGGAAGTCTGGATGCTGGAGAGGGACACTAATATCACCAGAGATGAACTTGTGACACTCAGTATAAACCTCTTCCAGAGCACACCATCTCAGGTAGGTTAACTCTCCTAGCTATTTAGATGTGCGGGGAAAGGAACAGGCTGATCAGTTGGTGAAGACTCCTTTGGATCAGATGGACTGTGCAGTGGAACATACCGAGTATCGATACATTGAAAGACTAATTCCATAAGGGGTAAGTAGAGGGTCTGGAAGATATTCATCATTGAAGGGGAAACATGGGCAGACTTTTAATCAGGTTGCATCTGGTACTATTTTAGAAAGTCAACTCTTCATTGGCTACTGAGGCAGGGATCAAGGCACATGTGAGAATGTCCTACGCAGAGTGTTGTCAATTCCTGATTAATTCATTCATTTATAATCATGTTTGACATTCATTACAAGGAAATGTGACATTTGGTGCATTATACGTTTAAGATTATATGATAAGTAGCTGAATGCAGGATGTATAAATGATTCAGTCTCCAGTGACAGGTCCTCATAATGCAGCCTGCAGACACTTGACACAATAATAATAATATGTTTCTTGTTTCTGTCCATTTTTGTTTTTTTAATTGTGTTTTGAACACATTATGAGACGTGTTGGGCTTGAGAAGTTGGTAACAGCTTGCGAGATTAATGGGGGAAAATTGACCAAATGGAAGGCAAATAGATAAATACCTGGATTGCTTGGCCCTAGGGATGGGACAGGATGTTAACACTGACATAATATGTGATTCCGGTGATCATGTGAGTTAGTGAAACATGACAGCCTGTGAGTATCAATGTGGCACATGATTATGATCCTTATTTCTGTGTTACAGGTGTTAGTCCAGATTTGTAAGTAAAGATTACCATTATTTCTGAATATGATCACATTAGGGTCAGCCACAGGCCACACCTTCTGGGCAGCCACAGGCCACACCTTCTGGACAGCCACAGGCCACACCGTCTGGACAGCGACAGGCTGCGCCTTCAGGAGGTGGTACTGCATGGGGAGCCAAGGCAGCTGAGCCACCTAAGCCAACAACACCAATGACAGAACCCCAGACTTTTGTAGAAAGCCCAGCATTAAATTTGGCAGAGTTCTGCAGGACTTGTTGGGGCAAAGGTCAGAGGTCTAAAGAAGACGGCAAAAAAGATAAATGTGTCCGTGGCCACAGCAATTTTAAGGTAGGTTGGTGCTTGCAGTACAGATTAGTCTAGATTGTTCTCTTGATCCCTTTTTATAAGGTGAGGGAGATAGACCCATTGTCAGTTAACAAATATGCTGTAAAAGGTGATTAATTAAGGGCTTGCTGAAATCGAATGAGTTGGGCCAAAATGTGCATATATCAAAGCCTAGCTGTAAACTGCAACACAGTGTGCCAGCCACTCTGTTATATGCAAACACAGAAGAATAAGGTAAGAATTAAAGGGGTAATTATATGGTGAGGTGTAATTATATGGTGAACCACATCATTTATGGGGGGATTGAGTATGATGTGCCAAAAATTTTTCTGAAAGATCTTATTTCCAGTGCTTGTATCTTCTTTTTGAGTTCAGCTATTAAGGTTAAGGCACACATTTCACAGCCATATGTAAAAGTACTAATAGCTAGTGCTCTGAGCAATCAAAGCTTAGTTTTAGGGTAGGCACTGGTAGATTTAGTTAGTATAGGCAAACTAGCGCTGTCAGTAGAATGTTTAGGTTTGTTGTAATTTTTCTAGTTTTTAAAAATAGAAAGTAGCTACTTTCAGGTTTAAGCTTTAAACAACGGATCAACATCACGGCACAAGGATAACCCGTAAGTGCTCCGTTCTACTTCTGACTCAAGCCTGAGTCTGAAGAATCTCAGCACAGGGCATGAACTCTGTAGCACCGATGAGGATCCTGAAATACTTTAAGAAGATTCTTAACTGCAAATTTTATCCAGGCAGTGCCTTTTAGGTTGATTAGAATTAGTGCATACATTGTTTAGATCACTGGCAAGTGCAACAGTGGGAGCTGTGTCTTACAGCGGTTGTGTCCTGATATTCAGAAAATACATGTGTCTGGTCAAGAACCTTATGCTTTATTATTGCATTTGTGGCTGACTTGGCTGTGACTGACTACTTTTATCAATAACAGATCACAATTCTGGTACTGATTGTTGGTGTTAGCAACTTCTTCACGAGTTTGCTGCACGTTTCTAGGTTTTGCCAGGATTAATTGTTTATTCACTAATTTTTAAATGGGAGCATTCTGAGTGATTCTTCTCTGGCGCAGGAAACCAAACTGTTGAAGGATGACCGATTTGTAGTTAAGTTGTAACCTTCAATTACTATTACTACAAGGTCAGATTCAGCTCTCTTTGATTTGGCAGTAAAAAAAAAAAAAGTACATCAACTAAGTTTACTGAAAGGCCATGCTTTTGAAAATGGGGGTTGGCACGGGCCAGAGATCCCCATCCTTAGCATAGAAAGATCATTAATACATACAGATGGCATATACTTGACTCAAGGGCCACTATTGAATAGCCTTGCTGTAAGTGGTGCACAGTATACTAACATTTAAGAAAAGGGGGGGGGGCGTGCAGGGGACCTGGAGGTACACAGTGATTGGCAACGTTATTATATTTGATATTGGTGTTGATTGTTATAGAAAAACTGAGAGGACTGACTTGTTACCCCACCAGGACATCACACAAGATATAAACACCCGGTGACACAAAGTACCACTATGCGGACGAGGATTGCCTGTGGAGAGGTCCCAGAAACCGAGTTCAGCTATTAGGCCATATCTATGGCTAGGCCATATCTATTCCCTGCCTATATTCAGGGCCCCCAGTAGAAGCCAGGGTGGGGCTTCAGATAACAAAAAATTGAATCCCACATGGGGACGAATTCGATTTTATGGAGAATTGCAGGACAATTTGCAAACATTAGCACTGTTGCTAGAAACATTTAAAATCCTGCAATAAAGAAGCAAGCAAAATCAATGCTATTAATAACATTAAAGAATGAGCATGCTTTGACATTTGCTACACTTGTATTTATTGATGAATATGCAAAACAGTAGAAGACCTTGATAGTGGTGCATCTTGTAGCCTTCAGATAGAAGTGTGTGGCAGGATAAGAGATTGGCACCACACCAAACTGAAATAAGTGCCTTTCAGGGCTGTATTTTTCACTTTACATGTATCAACTCCGTAGTTTAAAAAAAAAAATCATTACTTTTCATACAGCTATGCATAACTTTACTTACTTAGTTGCTCCTCTTCTACCTTTGGGTGTTGAGGTTTGCCAGAGAAATCAGCAGACTTTTGTGTTTGCAGTTTTCTTTTTTGACTATATTCCATTCAGTCCTCTGTCAGTCAAGGTCTGTCTGATGTTGTCTTCCCAACAAACCCGGGGTAATTCTGGTGGTCTGATCCCAGTGTCTTAGCCTCCCATGCCTGCTATAGTAGCCGTTTCTCTCCCATTCTGCAACCATGTCCAAACCATCGTGACTGTGACTGATTCACACGAATTTGTAAGGTCTGGGTTTCAAGATCCTGATCTGTTCTCTGATTGTGGACTATGTCCCTTCTTGTCACTTGGACAACATTTCTCAGATATCTCATTTTTGCCTGCACTTGGCTTCTGTAAGCTTTTGGCATTGCCCATGACTCACACCTATAGGTCAGGACTGGCATCTATGCAGTTTTTACAGATGTAAATGTTCAATTTTTGCGGAACGAGGGTTGTTTAGTACTTAGGGTGACTTTAGTTTAGTGGCAGCTATAGAGTATGTAACCTAACTGAATTTTCTTAGTATTAAACATCCATTTCAGCACTTCCGAACTCCTATTTCAACAGAAATACATTTCTTAAAAAAATATTACCAAAAATTAAGTCTCTTCTGCTGTCTGCACATTGTTTTGTGTGAAAGGAAAGTAATTTTCAAAATAATTTCTTCTGCAGGTGAACAGTGTCTTTGTTTCATTGCCATCTGGCAAAGAGATCAGAAGTTTGCCTGGGCTGCTGCGTCATGGTATGAAACCTGTGTTGTGTGCACACTACCCCAAGTGTACACGCGCGATTTGCACACACCCACATGGGCAGGAGGAGCTCGATGCCTGGATGTACATGCTGAAACATCAAAGTGAGCCTCACAACTTTATTGAATAAATCTTTTACTTCATCTTCTTCTTAACATTCGCCGGTTGTGAACTCTGTGAGAAAGTTATGGTTGGCCACTCCTGATCCAGAAGTTGAGTTTTATGTGCACATCAATTTTACAGATCTGACTTATTTGTATGCAGACTGTTGGTTCCTTGACTTTCAGGCAAATGCACTCTGACTTTGAAGGAAACACCTATAATTAGTCACCTCTGACTGGGGGAAAGGGGGGGGGGGGGAGGAAATGGGTCTGTTCATTACTCTTTAAAATTTAGCCCCGAAACCCACACAGGGATATTAAATAAATAATAGATTAATTTTGTCTTGCCTCCTTTAACTATCAGGCACAGTTGTAGTGTTGGTTTTATGTGTTGGCATTGTTTGTTATAAAGGTGTTGGGTTGAACTTCAGAACCGCTGACAGGTGAAGCCTTTTCGTTCGCAATAGATAATCTTCATTTTACAAGCTTGTATTGACCCCTTGACCTTGATGAAACAAATTCCTTACTGCTGTAGAATTTATTTTGAACTGCGATGTTGTTAATCCGGCACACAGTCTGCATTGACATCGCAGATTCTTCATGAAGGTGTATTGCCAAATGGTAATAATAAATCTTTAACATATCGCTGCACAACATGGTAGAGGAGGATGTTGAATTAAGAATCAACATCACAGCACTTAGAGCTTTTCCATAAATGCCCCATCCTCAACTCAGCAGTAGGCACAAAGTTTCAATTCTGATGATACTGTTAACAGTCTGATTGTAAGTATGTTATGCCTTTCCGTTGAGCATCAGCCAGATCCCCTGGTCACTTCTTTCAGCACCCTTCTCCTCGGGTAGAAGTGGAAAGACTGAATTGGAACAGTAAATACTCATTCTTTCCTCTCCTTTTCTTCATACACCAAATATGAGTCAAAATTTAAGATAAGTTACTCATTTTTGTTCATTCCTTCTAGTTAAAACTCTACCTGACCTTTGCAACCACATCCAAGAAACCCAGAAAAGCAAAACTCGGAAGATCAATGTCGGTGAATCTGTGGTCAGTGTCTGGGGTCAGTCAGGTGTCCCCATCACCAACCACAGCAAACCAGTCAACCAGATCATTGCTCCGGGTGACTTGCTGATCAACGAGCTGTACTGCAGCTATTGTGGTATCAGCTGCAACAGCCCTCGCCAGTGGGATGAGCACTGCATGAGTGAGCGGCACATCAACAATGTGAACTCCGACAAGGAGCATCAGTGGAACTTCCGGCAGCCACCCTGGGGTCAAGGCAGTAACCTGGCACTTTGTGCAAAGTAAGTAATTTCTTTCTTTCTGTCTGCATACTTTTTCTGTCTATGTCTGTCTTTCCTTTTTTGTTTTTCTTTGTACTTTTGTCTTCTTCTGGGTCTTTGTTTTTAGTCTACCTGTACACCTTAATTTTTTTGTTGCTTTTTTTTTTTAAAGCCTTGGAGTCATGTCAGCAACTTCAGTTTTTTGCACTTTTTTTTGTAACCTCATTTCTTTCATCATGAGGATAAGAGAACATGGGTATGTCTTAACCAGCAAGAAAGCTGTAGGGTAAGATAGGCAGAGTGAGACCAGTAGGAAACATTTGGAATGTTTTTGCATGGCGAACATCTGTATCATAAATGATTGGCAGTACATGAAACAGTGGACAGACAAAATGACCTGTGCCACACAGCACAGGTTAGCAGAAAATAACAGGTCCTGTTGTACACCTTCATGCATATTGGGCATAATGTGCTAGACCAGTGATTCCCAAACTGTGCGCCGAGGCGCCCTAGGGAGCCGCGACCTCTTCAAGGGCAGCCGCGAAATATCCGAAGATTTTTCTCTCTCAATATTTTACATATGAATAATCATATTTTTACTTAAGTTAGGGCGGCATGGGAAAATGTATATTGAAAAAAAGGTGGTGCGACTAAGTAAAGTTTAGGAAACACTGCGCTAGACCAATAATTTATAGACCAGTCGGCGATGTGTGAGTGATGTGGTCTACATCAGGGCCAGCAGCTTCTACTTCCTAGAACTTTGCCAGTTTGAGATTTACAGATCTGCACGCAATACTCAAGTTCTGGAACAAGAATAAAATCCAGAAGGTGACAATCAGCCAGAAAAGTTGGTGGAGTTTACAGACGAGAGAAGACAAAATATGCTAGCAGAAAACAATCTATTGTTTGTGACTTCTTTGTTCAATCTTACATAATCATCTATTTCAGATCATTATTATAATGACATTTCTAATTTACTTGTTTACTGTTAAATTGGTTATGGTAGTAATTTAAGTTTTTTGTGTTGTGACTAAGAAGCTCAAGTTACTCATTTAAGTTGTATTGATTATAATTACTTTGATTTCTTTGCTTTGTCTTTAAGACACTTAACCAATCACACCAGCCCTCTTCTTGCATCATTAATTTGTGGTAAGAATATAGACATGGTAGTGATAAGTAGAGATATCTTCTTTGTCTTCTGTGCTCACCCTTAAACACATTGTGTTGTGATTTACAGCTAAGCTGCACCTTTTTACCTGAAACATTCAATTTTAGAAAACCCATAATTAGTCACTTCCCTTGACGTGCATGTTAAAGGGCAGTGCGTCTATTCTTCTTTCCCTCTCTCCCTCTCCAGTGAGGGCCCTGAACCTACATGGAGAATGAGTAGTATCAGTAACTTATGACTTGATTGCCCGTTGAGGCCCAGCTGACCCAAGACCTGTTTTATTTTCAAGTAATGACTCTGAAAAGAGGGTGCTAAAATGTTACATAGAACCTGAGGATCCCTGCTGGAACTACACAGTATGTGCCAGCGTTTTGTGGAAAGAGACCAAACCATAGGGGGTAAAACCCAGTGCAAAGAAGTTGATCTTCTTGACTGTAACCATATCCTTGTTGTAAGATGTGATTAAGGAGGGTTCGCGTAAGACTTGCTATCTTTTTTTTCTTGGTGTTTACCAGCTGTAAACTCTGGTGAAAAGTTCTGGTTGATCATCCACTTTTGACCTTTAGTTCTGTTCCGGAATTTCAGTTTTGCATGCACATCCATTTCACAGATCTGGCTTGTTTGTTTGCAGATTGCTGTTGGTTCATTGCATCACAGGCAGATGCATGCTGACCTCAAAAGAAACTTGCCAAATTAGTTGCCTTGTACAACATGCATATTAGCAGGACAGTGGGTCTACCCCATCCCAAAATGGGGCTCTGAATTCCACACGGGGGAATCCATATATCTATCTCCTCTTCATGTCGCTGTTGACAAATAAGGCATTCACAAGTGATCTCCATTGCTGCCGGACTGCTGCTTTTCTGCCCGTGGTATCCCATGTCAGTTTACATTCCTTCATTTCCCGTTCCATTGTCCTTCTCCAGGTTTCCTTAGGTCATCCATGTCTCCTTTTCCCATCTGTTATCTACTGGAGAGCTGTTTTTGCCAGTGTCACAAGGCATTCTGCAAACATTTCCAAGCCATTTCATCGTCTTACTTTGATAACATTTGCCAGTGATGCACATTCTGTTGTCCTCCTCAGTTCTTATTTGTAATCTTGTTTGGCCAAAATATTCGTAGAAATCTCCTTAAACATTTATTTTGAAAAGTACATGGGGGAAATGGTTATCTAATCGTGTTGAGCACTTTTAACAGCATAATCTATATGATCATGGGGCATGGTGTGAGTTTGTTGAGGGTCTGTTCCATTGGTGAATCTAATTCAGAAGATGATGGTATTGACAAAAATGAGTACAGTTACTTCTGTCTTTGGTCCTGTAGACATATACATAACCAGTCGTGCCAGTACTCACACGTGCCAGATATGTACAACCTCTGCAAGTATGCCCACAGCCAGGAGGAGCTGGACGAGTGGCTGGAAAGGTATGAATGGCGCCAGCTGAAGCGAGAGGTGGCCAAGGAGCGTCACATGTTTTCCTATACAGAGTCTTTGCTAGAGGAATACTACAGCAAGGATAACAGTGTCAGCGTTGTAAGTTTTGCTGTGTGTTGATTTATTTTTAAATCGTGGGTGTCTGAGTATGGGATAACTGTCAGTGTCATATTGCATCTAGACATGGAATAACAGTGTCAGTTTTGTAGGCATCTGGACTAAGAATAACAGTCAACTATGTGGGCATCTAGGTATGGGAATAACAATACAAATTTTGTATTGTTTTATGTTGATTTGATCACATCTGAGTATGGAATAACAGTATCTATTTTATATTTGTGTGTGCCCAACTTCAGTTTATGATTGAGACCAATAATTTTATCCAGTCTGTGGGCTGTAATATATATTAAAATATCTAACAATCTGTGGAAGAAACATAATAACCTAGACCTGATTTAATCCAGTCTGAAACATGACCTGGTTACATCCTAACATGTCTCTTTACAGAGATTAAGTTGCCATACAGTTCTTGTTCACTGTACTGGTTTCTGAGCTTGGAGAAGAAAAGTAAAGCTTTGCAACACAGTTCCCATGGAGACACTTTTTTTAGTGGGGGGGGGGGGGGGGGGGGGGAGCGCTCACTCATAGATTATGGCCTATTTTATGTCTGATGCATAGCTTCTGAGGACCTGGTTAGTGTTCTTTGGATATTTTCTCCATGTTAATGCCAGTGTGTTGGGAAACCAACAGGTAGATATATTGGCTGGTTTTGCACCACGTGGTGGTGAAAGGCTGCACGAAAAGCTAGATGTTTTAAGGGTCCTTTGGGGGCAAGTGAACAGTGCGCAGGCACAAATATATCATTACTGTCTGAGGAGAATCGTACATCGAGAAGTGACCAGCAGATCTGGCCGATGCTCAAGAGAAAGTTGAGACGGATATAGTTAAACTGTTACTGGTACCATCAGAATTGGAACTCTGCAGTTGCTGCTGAAGATGGGGATGGAGCACTTAATGGTAATGTTCTGAGTGCTGTGATACCAGTTCTTAATTCAGCATTAAACATGTGAGGCTCTTGAGTTATCAGAACATGAATATATTTACTCAATCCTCTTCCAGATGATTTCAAAAGCACTAATGAGCTATACCACTGAACACTACCAAGTTTTAATAAGGTAAAGGACCCTGGGCATATGAAGTTCGACTCGTTTCTGGATAGACAAGTCAGCACTCGATGATGGTTTGGTCAGAATTATGCCAACCGTCTTTACTTTCCAAGGCATTACCATCTAGTCTGGGTCAACTTTGAAGCCAGAATCTGTTTTGGAATTTTTGTTTGTTACTGTGTAGGTTTGACCCCTAGATCTTCAGCCAGCACGTGAGCGTCAAACACTACACTACCACGGCTCCCCACGCTACCAAGTTCCCAGATATTGAAAGAGAACTACTGATGGTAATAGATCTTCAAAAGCTATCTTCTTCAGTGATCTCTGACCTTGCACCTAATCCACTGGGCCATAAATGGGGATGTTATCTCAAGGTCTTTTAGGTTTTCCCAAACTTACTTGTCAGTCTACTGGGTGTGGCCAATTGTTCTTTCGTAGCTCCTTAAGGAAAGAGCAGTCTTGCAGGACATGTTCTGAAGTCCTTTCAGCATGAACACTGGCAAAAAGCTTATAGCTAAACAGATCTGATTGTAATATTTTTGTCTGTTATAAAACATTTCCAAGACTTGCTGCTTTTGTCTGCTCTCCACAGATTTCAGAAACACTACCAGGTGTTTTAATTGTTTGCAACGAAGAGCAGGTGCTATACAAAAGTGAGAAGAATGCTGTGTTCACATGGACCTTTGAAATCCACTGCCAGGTAGAATTATTTTTTTCAGATTCTCCTCAAACTTTCAGCAGTTTTCGTCATGCTTTCCTCAACCTTCTTTTTCCTCAAGAAAATTTTTCCAGTGATGAACAGGGATGCCATGGTCTGTCTGTCTGTCTGGCTCTCTGAGTGTCTGTATGTATGTGTTGGTGTGTATTTGTGTGAGTGGATGCATAAGTGCATATGTGTGTGTGTGTGTCTGTCTGCATGCACGTACGTACATAGTATGTGCGTGTTTATGATTGCGTGTATACATACACATATACTAAACTCTTTCAGACCCAGGAGGTTTAGCATCACAGAACAAAGAGATGGCTATCCAAGACGTATAATTGGCACATCATGCATTTATTAGGCATCTATGCGGAACCTATGAATGTATGGTGCCTTCTTTGGGATATATACATTCCTTGGGACTGAAATATATATATACTCACAGATGCACACATACATACTTATATATGTTTAAGTATATAAGTGCATATTTTGCAAGTAGAGACGTACATCTTTATGTTTGCATGTGAGTATGTATGTCTGTGTTCATATCTGCAAGTGTGTTTGTGAGAAGGTATGAGAGAGTATGCATATGTGTATGCATTTGTCATTGATACTTTTGTGTTTCTACTTGTTCATATTATTTATATTACATTGAACATGATATGCTTGATAGGTAATATATAATTGCTGTGGGAAGGAGAAATGTTGCTAAGGCTGAATGTAATGTGGGTCTGCGTGCCAAATTTGTGAACCTTATGTCTGGTTGTATTAGTTAACACAGGACATTGTGACTGTTGTACTCTTGTGAATGACACTTGTGATTTGTTTTGTTTTAGAAAACTATGGAGAAGGTGGCACTTCTGCACAACAAAGATCGTCTGCACTTCTCACTGTTGGGTGTAGATGACACCCGTCATCAGGTTGCATCTGGGGATCTGTTTCTGGCTGTTGATGACCAAGGGGATGCATGTTATAAAGTTAATGTAAGGACAAACAGCAGCTTTCCTGTGATATTTTAGCAAAGTAATATACCAGTAGAATTGCTGTTAAAATGTTCAATCCGTTGCTAACAGCATCATCGTCATTTCATCTTCTTCTCCTCCCCCTCCTTCTTCTTTGTCCTCCTTCTTCATCTTCATCCTTCTTCTTCTTCTTCTTCCTCCTTCTTCTTTCTCCTCTTCATCATCCTCCTCCTCTTCTTCTTCTTCCTCTTCTAATGCTAGCTATGAACTCTGGCGGAATGTCCTTGTTGTTTGTCCATGCCTGGAGTTTGTCTCGCTCCACGTCTTGAGAATTGCTTATTTATTCATTTTACAAATCTAGCCTATTTGTATACAGACTGTTGGTTCCTCAATTCTTAGGAAAATGCTCTCTGACTTTGAATATAATGTTGATCCTATCCACCTTGACCAGGTTTCCCTCTCTCCCTTCGGGTTGGGAGCCTTTTACAAGGATGACCATAGAGTACACAGATGTTGATTATTGAACCCAGGTCATGGTGCGCATCTACGGATGGTGATTCACCTCTAATTACTATTTCTTTGTCTACTTAAAAGCATTTCTGGATAACTACTAAATGCCTGTTGAGACTTGGTTATCTATATAAAACTAGTAGCTGAATTAATAAATATTTATGACAAAATAAGGAAGTAATTTTTCTGTGGCCATGTTGCTAGGAGAAAACAGTTAATTTAATGTAATAATTATTAACTTTAATAGGGAGAAATTTAATTAATATGACAGCAAAATAAACATTTTTATGTTATGGAAATGGAATGGACATCATAATTCAACCTTTCTGGTACCACTTTTTGAAGCCACTTTTTAATTGTCTCTGTTTTTGTTATCTTTATAAAGGCTGCTTCTGTCTTTCATGCATTGTTCTTTAATCTTCTGTTTCACGTTATGGCCATTAATTCATTCTTTCATTCATTGATCAATAATTGTTTTTGTCTTTCATCGACAACTAACACTTTTTGTCACGTATTGGCCATTATTTATTAGTTGTGGATTGTACATTACCTTTTTCTTGAATTTATTGACTTTTATCTTTTCTATCAAACCCCTAAATAAATAAGTTTGTGTTTTCATTGGGAATTATTTATGCATATTTTGGCCTTTAAGCATTAATTTTCATTGGCCTAAAACATTAAGGTGTCACATCTTTCAACTTTGACATCTAGAAATGTTGAGGTATTGTGCTTCTTTCTGTTGAAGACACTACGAACAGATCTTGGTTGTTGAAATAATGATCCCATTTAACATATTTGCCGTCCGCATATTAAAAAAATTATTCCTTTAAGTGCGAGTAAGTTTTAAAGTTTCAAGTTATACCTGAATTGACCAAAACTGTTAAGCCATTGCCTTAAAAGGTTGAATGTTTCGACTAAAAGGCGCAAATATCGTAACAGTGCTGTAAACAGGCAGAACACAGTTACATCCTCAGATGAACATAGAAAAAGAAGAAGAATTAACCAAATGTATGCATATAAAACATTTTTTATAGCTCCACAATCACACATATTTATGTATTTGTATACATCAGGTGTGTTTTAGTGGAGGCATGTTTGGATCATTTAGTCAGTGGGTGGTGTTTGACTTTGGAGAGCGACCAGTCCTGGTGAAAAAACTGGCCGTGGAGATTGGAGACCATCTACAGCATGAGAGAGTAAGTTTTTGACAATTTTTTAAATTTTTTTTTAAAGTTTTGGCTGTGATTTTGAGTTTATTAGTATAGATTTGTCTGACAGCCTTATTTTTATGCATGCAACCTAGCCAGTTTGTTTTTAATTGTGTTTTAATTTTTACTGGTTCTTATCCAATACGGTTGGTGTAATTGTGATGTCTGTGAAAGTTTCTTGTTTGTAAGAAATACTTGCACAGGGCTTTCATAATATTCTACCCCAGAACAGGGGAAGACCACAGGTCACGGGATAGTCTGATATTTCAGGGTTTGGTAGATTAACTGCATGCAGTCATGGCACCCAGGCTGCACTCTCTTGTGGGACGTAGGTAGGTTGGGGTTAGGGCCAGTTCTAGATGTTTTGGGGTTGTTAAAAGTATTAGAAAGCCTGGAAACCCAGTCTTACCACCCTTTAAAACGTTGGACTGTCCTGTGAGGTCATCTGGGGTAGGATATTACGAAAGAACTGACTTGCACTGTTACATGTATTGTTTCCAAACGATAAGTCGTGGAGATAGTACAGTACAGCAGTTTAGAAAATAACATTACAGGTGATAAATGACACTATTTAGATGACCTGGCAACAACAGAAAATGCAGTTGCAAATGACAACTTGAGATATTTACTGCACTACTAAATAAATATAAGCAGCTAAGCGAACTGACTAAAAACAGTAATGGGTATGTTATCAGCATTTAAGGTCAATAGTTGCACTTTTAGTAGTAATGTTGTCTCTCTTAATGGTATCTCACTCCAAGACGTGGAGTTGTACACTTATCTGGGCAGTAATGTAGATAAAGATGGAGGAACTGATAGATATATTAAAATACGAATACAAAATGGCAAGAGGAGCTTTCATAGCACTAGGAAATTTGTGAAGGTTAAAAGAAATTAAAAGAAATACTAAACTTAAAATTGTTAATTCTAATGTCAAATCAGTACTTTTGTATGGTGTGGAGACATGGAGAACAACTAAGGCAGTTACTAATAAACTACAAACACTCATTAACTGGTATCTGCACAGAAAAGATAGAATTAAATGGTATGATGGAATTACTAATCTAGAGGTTTGGAAGAAAACTAAACAGGTTGCAGTGGACCAAGAGGTGAAGAAAAACACTGGTGTTGGATAGGACACACATTGGGTAAACCTGAGAACAATATAACTAGAATATCTTTGCACTGGAACCCCCAGAGGCATAGAAATAAAAGCTGTTCAAGAAACACATGGAAAAGGAAGCTAGAGAATAAAGTTAAAAAGATGGGGAGAGCTGCATGCGGTAGCGAAGGATAGAACGACTTAGCACGAGTTGCTTGAGGGCCTATGCTCCATAGAGGGATAGAAGGCAGAAGAAGTTGCACTTTTAATCCTGATGCAGCTGGCACCGTCACTATAGGAAATCTTCAGCGCCTAATTAGAAAGTGGACAGAGCATGTGTGGGAATGTTCTGAGTCATTTGATATTTGTACTTAATTTATTCAGTTATTTAAGACAAAAATAGTATATGAATTGAATACTTTAGAAAATCGCTGAAATGACACATTTATAATTAATTACTTCATATATCTAGTCTGCAGCAGTAAAGCCCGAAATTAACTGAGAAACTATTGGAGGAAGAAACTATAAACACATTTAAAACTCATAAAGGAAGGTAAAGCTGCAAGTGCATATGATATCTCAACAGAAGCTGATATAAATATCTCAACAGTTTAACCACAATTTGCATAGCTGAGGTGAGAATTAGGCTGAAGAAGAATGAACTGGAGCGAAGGATGTCTGATAAAGCACAGAGAAAGGAGAATTCAAAGGATAAAGTCGAAAGGATTGCTTGAAGGACGATTGCAGGAGTGCGTAATTATAAAGGAATAATGTTTCTTTCAGTAGCGGAGACAATTTTATGGAGAATCATCCAGAAATGATAAAGTGGTGGCATTTAGAAACATCTTATAGATAAATCAGTACTGTCAATCACACAGATTCTTTACTGACCTGATAGCCACTTTATGCGTAGTCTTGGAACAAAGCATCGCATGAATTTTTCAACTTTACATTTGACGGTTTTTAACCGCATTGCCATATACATTAGATTTTTAAGGGAGTCTCAAAAGCCCCTTTCAAAAGTTTTTCAAATTGGCTACAACAATTGAAAGCAAACAAATTTGGTTAAAACATCGGGCTTAAAATATTTAGCTGCAGAACTCAGATCAGTACATCTGCATGTATCATAGACATTGAAAACAACAAAACAATTAGTTATACAATACAGTGATTCTTTGATGTTTGTATTAAATAGAGCTAGTAATATGATGGGACAAAATCACCAGTGTGCAGCTCATGGAGAAAACTAAGTACATTCCTTGAATCAAGAAGTAAGGTAAAGATACTGGTACTGGGGTGGAGGGATAAGCATTTAGGAGATGACTGAATCCTTTTTCTCTTCTAGCAAAAAGAAAAGGTAGTTGCTTGTTTTTGAGAGGATGTTGCAGAACCAAAACCAGAGTTTTTGTGTGTGGCTGTTCATGATTTTACTAGGCAATTTTACATTCAGTAGTTGGCAGGTTGAAGAAGAACAAAATAAATGATGAATCTGAGACATTTATACACATCAGTTTTGCCTTTGTTAGTAAACAAATGTTTTGTTAGTCTAGATGCTTGCCTGCTGACCCAAATATCTAGGGTTCAAATCCACATCGAGGCAAATGTTTGCTTGCCCACCATTCAGAGCCCCACCGAGGCAGACTTTTTTTTCAGAATTGACCTTGGCTCTTGGGTTGAACCAGTCTAAAATGGGTCTCAGGTCATATCCTGGAAAGTAATGACAGCCGATGTGATATTAATCACATCAGTCAATGAGTGCCGATTGGTCAATAAAAATATAGTTCTAAGACTATCTGCCAAATGCATTAAAGATGTGAAAAGAGCTCTGTAATGCTTTTACTTTCAATGCATTTCATAAACTGAGATCGTCTGTAATATGCATGTGTCAAAAACTTTCTGGAGAAAAGCATTGTAATGTTCTTTCTATTTAAAAAAAAAATATTCAACCTACAGAATACTTGGGTGAGAGAATTTACAACTATCTGTTGAATGTTATTCACCTTTCATTGTTAAATAATGGTTCATATTTTACTGTTATGAATCTTTTTTGATATTCTTGATCTTACACTGTCTTACACGTATTGCACATCATGTGCTTTCTAATGCTGTAACACTTACCTTCTGGTCTGAAGGTCATGGTCTTGAACTCAGACCATGTCAGATTTTTTAGTAACTGACTTTGGCTACAAGCTTGTAAGTAAAGGACCCTTTTCCACACCTTTAGGCGTATAGGGCATATAGGGCTAGATCTATATTTTTTATAGACCAATCAGCACAAGATAGGTGATTTGGTCAGCCTTTACTTCCCGGGACCGCGCCCGGTACCCACTCAGAGCTCGGTCGATCTGGGAGCCAAGTTCATTTTTGAAAAAAGTCTGCTCTGCCAGGGAGCGAACCCACGACCTTCTGATCGGCGACGAGCGTCTAGCTGCTCGGCCACGGCGACTACCAGCTTGAGCCAGTCTAAAATTGGTCCTGTTAATTAAAGACAGACTTGTGATGTTGACGATATGCCTCATTGAGTGTTGATTGATTTTAAAAAATACAAGTCTAGCATCATCTGCCCGATGTGCCACTGGTTTAGAAAAGGTCCTATATGCCACTGGTGTGAAAAGGTCCTTTACTTACTTTATGTTTGATAATTTTGGTTCGTTAACAGCATCTTGTCTAGAAAGGTGAAGTATTTTGGTGGTATGAAGGGCCATGTTGAAAAAATAATAGCAGAATGCATGGTACCAGGAAGGAGAGGCATAGGCTGACTGACATGAAGATGGACACAGTGTATAAATGACTCCTCGAATATGAAAGTGTACGAGGCCAGAGAGCTGGCGAGAGACCGAGTTTCTTTCAGGCAGACTATGATGGGAACAATGTTTTGTACAGGACCTGCTACATGGTGATGATGAGTGGCTGTAGAAAGTGAAAATGCTTCTCAGAGCAGAATAGTAGGAAAACAGAAGTATTGGCAATAATGAAGAAGTGCATCATGCCTACATGCACAGTTGAAGTCGATGATTAGGGGCAAGTACAACAATTCAACAACCAAGGCATAGGTACTGGTCTCTGGGTAGTGAGATCGGACGACCGTGTGCATTGTTGCGCACGTAAAAAATCCCTTGGCAGTTGGAAATCGAAAAGAGTAGCTTAGCGGCGCTGCCCGGGCAAAATTTGGAGTTGCAAATCTACCCAAAGTATTTCAGGATCCTCGCTGGTGCTACAGAGCCTGTGCACTGTGCAGAGCTTCTTCAGACTCAAGACTTGAGTTAGAAGAAGAACAGAGCACTTATGGGTTACCAGTGTGCTATGATGTTGATCCGTTGTTCAAACTTCAACTTCAAATTTCAAAGGACAGTAAACATCTGATGTAAAACAGCGATAGAGAAAAGATAATGACAAGCGAAAAGCTGCATTTTAAAAATGAACTTCTTTTTCAGTAAATCCCTATAATTGAACATTAGAATAACCAGTTTTTGTCTGCTACAGAGAATCAGTTTTAACATAAAGCTGTGAATCATTGACAGTCAGTAGAGAAAAGTTTCTCTTCAAAAGAATACTGAAAATTCCTTGGGCAGCCTAGAGGAGTAGTCTAAAAGTTTTTAAAAAGGCTAAAGCACAAAGGCAACTGCTATATGCACCAGAAAGAGGCATTTTTTTTTTTAAATACAAATTATGAAACGATAAGCTCTGGAGATAAAAAGCAGTGAGAGAAGATTCTTGACATCCTTTTATCCTGTCTCATAAATTGATACATATTCCCAGTACCAACATCACAGTAAACTGGTTAACTCATAAATTGCTATTTTCAAATGCCAGCAAAAACAACACAGAATGCTTTTTGTTGTTCAAAGTTTTATAGAAAAATTTGAAATGACTGACTGCAGTCTTG